TGTCTCTGTGTCCTCATATAGCCGTTCCACTGTGCGCCATCTCAAGGATGGCGATGGCAAGCCTCTTTGAGTATATTTGCCTAGTAAGACCTCCGAAATACTGCCGTTTGGATTCGGTGATAAACAGGTCGCATGTACATGGTGTACTTGTGAAACCCTGATGATACACATCGAAAGTACATGCGAGATGTAGCCGACGCTCTGTATAGTATATAGCACTGTAAGAACACAGTCATTAACATAAAACCAGATATAACATTTTATCCTCTTTTTATCACGTACTTATGCATCTTATGGGATCATATTTGTACTGTTCATGCTGTTCATATTTCTTCTATTTTAGATATATGTATGAGTGAAAAAAATAATAAAATTCTTCAATCAAAAACTATAATTATTATCCTTTCTTGGGCCAAAAATTTCGAAAAATTGAATGAAATTATCACTTTTAATCTAGAAAATTATAGAGCTAACAGAATCAGCCTCTTGACCATCTCGTCCATCGGTTCCGAGTTATTAGAGCGGGACGCGTTAGGCTGTCCATAATGGAACTAAGTGGTCAATTTAACTGGACCCCATCGAACCGATTATGGAATGTTTGATTTGCGAGGTCGACCACGAAAATTAATATTTACTTTGTTAAAAGGTTGTTCGAGAGGCATTTTTTATGGTTGGGTTCTAAGTTAGAAATTAAATAAGTGTATTAGATAACAGATTCTGCATAAAACTATTAATTTTAGAAGGTGTAAATGAATACGGACGAAAAAATTGGTCAAATAGCTGATGATTTTTGTAATATTAACGGTGGTTTTCATAAAAAAAAACAGTGTGTGCACTATGTGCGCATATTTGATGTGAAACTTCATACTGACATCTATTAAATCAAAGGATTTGGAGGATATGTTTGAAAAACTGACATATAATGCTGTTTTAATATTATCGCGACCTAGCTGGGGGTTGCTTGCTAGGGTCGCTATACCAGGTTCTCTCTCTTAAGCAAAACAACCATGAAGAACAAACACATTTATTTAGCATAAGGTTTACAGTGTGGATAAAATTATTGGGACGATTTCAGGAAATGCCAAGACTTAACGGTTTACTTAAAGAAGTACTTACAGGAACATCTTCATTCTTCGCTGTCTTCTACTGGTTTACTCTCAACCAACCGACTGACTAACCTCGACTGACTGACTAGCAGTAGGTATGGGGCCACTTGAGCCCAAGGTCAACCCCCATTTTCTCCCTAAATTTAGGGAAATTTTCCCGTCCATAGCGGCCCACCCTATGTAAATCTTATAACATGGGTTATATGTAATTTCCCTAAATCTTCTGATTTTTAGATTTGGCAACGTCGCATTTCATTATACATCCGGCAACGCTGTACGTAGTCGCCGACCGCCATCTAGCGCCTAACTCCGGAACTACCGCGCGCCACCTATTGGGTAGCTCAAGCGTTATAATGATGGTAACTGTAATTTGGGATGCATGACTTCATTAACTTTGTTACAAATTGTATTTATATATCACAACAAACGTTATCACTTGTTTTGCAGAATAGTCGAAAATCTAATTTGTTTGTTATTAGAAAACATTTAAAATAGAATTTGTTTTTAAATTTCGGTATATACAGGATGAGTCTTAAATAAGTGAGAATACGGGTATTACGGGGGAATAAAATTAATTTAAGGGTATTGAACGATCTTACCAAAGGTACATATACGAATTTACTGAAAAATTACTTAAACAAATCAAACGTAAAATATAAAATATGTACTCACTAGGGTTTACTGCTATTATTATTTTTTTTTTTTTTTTATTTTATAAAGTAATTTTTTAACACCATAACTGTTGGAAACAAACTGAAAAGGCCGAATGAGTGCTTAAAATTATTGTTTTTCTATACAAAAGGTTGTTGCTGAAAAGAACCGTAACAAATACAGGTTTTGGAGTCTAAAAAATTATTTATATTATAAACAATATAAAATTATATATGAAATAATAAATCTAGAAAACTTTTGTTTTTTTTATAATAATTTTACTACAAAAAACAATCTTAAGCCCCAGCGCCGCGTCAAAATCGACGCTAGGTGTGGTGCGCAAGCTCCGAAATAAATACGAAAAATTTAAAAAATATATACAAGTACCCTTTGTTAACGCTATAAGACTAAAATTTAGAGATGACTAAAGGCAAACAGTTCTGAGGAACTCTAAAAAACAAAAATAATTAATTTAATTTAAAAGTATTAAGTCAAACGTCAAATGTCAACTAGGTGTGGCTCTAAGCGCAAGCTCCAACAGAAAATTTTTTAAAAATATATACAAGGACAATAGCCCATCGTTTAACTTCGGTAAACATCGCTGCAGTCAAACGTCAAAATCAGTGCGCCAAAAGAACTAGGTGTGGCGGAAGCAGAAATAAACAGAAAAACCCTTTGTAATGTAAAAAAACTTTAATATTTATCGAAATGAAGAAAATTAATTTAAGAGTATTAAATCAAAAAACAAAGCGTATTACTAAAATACGTACTTACGAGGTTTATATGTATTATTATCCATTCACTCAACACATACACTGATGCCCTTTTTCTTCTTCAATAGCCCTTTTCACTAAACGCACTGAAAATACACAATAAATTTCTTGATGCAGTACCGTTAAAAGTTAGAAACAAACTGATGATTTTGTAGCTAAAAATATAATGTGAAGGCCGAATGACAGACAGGAAACTGATAATACCAGTTCTTGAAATATACGAGGTGTGTAGAATAAGGTTAATATACGAGGTGTCTAGCTAATTTAGTTGATTGCTTTCGTAATAAAGTTAATATAAAACAATAAATAAATATGATACTGACGTCATACCTGTCACTTGTCAAACATTTTTGGGAATATATACAGTGTGTGAAAAAAAGTATATATGGCGTAAAAGCAATACGTGAGAAAATTTGCCACCATCGTTTGGTTTTAGCGAATAAATATTTTAAGTAAAAAACAAATAATCAAACTTACGTGCTAATACATGTAAAATAAAAAAAGTTCTAATACAGTTCTACGGTTTTCTTGTGTAACGACTATGATGTTACGCATTTGTTTTTCTAGGAAATTCTAGATCAATTTTTAGCGGTAAATTATTTTTATATACAGGGTGTTAATGAAAAACAATTAGACTTTTTCTACTCAAAAAATCTTATACCCTCTGTTTAAAGTTCAAGGTGTTTGTTGTTAAATCGTATATGTCAAATAACATTAATAAATTATCACTAGTCATATATGTCTTATACCTATTTCCTATCAATCAACACTAACACAGTGAAAACACAGGTATAATGACAAGAGCAATTCAAAAGTTAGCGTGGAAAAACTATCAAACTTATCTACAATGACCCTTAGAATTTGGATAAATAAAATTGTTTCATGTACCTAACTCTCTTTTAAATCATTAACCAGATACTATTTAAATAGGTACTAAGTCAAAAATTAACCTATAGGTAAACAGTCAAATAAAACTATAACGACCCTTTCTACAATGATAGATAGAATGATATTTAATTAAAAATAAAAACAACAAAGTTCAAACTGTTGGAATTAAACCGAAAAATATCACTTTACTAAAAAAAATATGATATCGACACCTTCCAATTCCTCCTGTATTATGTCATACATCGCCTTATAGGGTAAATACCCTGAATTATAAGGGATTCCATGAACATTGTGAAATATATAATTTATCGTCTTCTTATGGTGTATCGGCAGATCGTGGTAACAAATCTTCGGTTTAAATGTATAGGTTTTCATTTCTTTTCCATCGTATATGGATAATTCCTTAACCTCAAATTCAGGTATGGAAAATCCTTGTACGTCTATAACAAACGAACTTCATCGTATCAATGTCTTGCAACAACTGACGCCTTTCTCTACCGACTCTACACTACACTAGGAGAAGTTTCGAGAGTATTAACACTTGTTTTTGAAAACTATATGCTTTTATGAAAAATCCATTTCCTTTTATAAGCCAAAAAATCCCCACAATTTTTCCCTTACAACCAATCAGCAAGCGCTAACCACCTCTCAGTTTGCGTCAAAAACAATAACGCTCGATGTGCGCATATTTTCCTCTTAGAGTTAAACCAATCAGAGCGCTCCAATGAATTTACAATAAACAGACAAACGTATTGCAAAAACATTGTAGTTTTGTGTGTCTATCTGGTAAGTCAACCTTTTTTACATAAAAATTAAATTCGCAAAGGTTCTTTTAGGGTTTTAAACCGATTTATATGGGTAATTTTGTTTTTCCCGTGAAATCGTAATCATCACTAAATAAAAAACGAGAAATAATTTTAATTATATTTATTTAGGAAACATAATATATAATTATATAAAATAGACTTATACAATATTTTGAGTTATAATTTTATTTAACAATACTTTTAGTTTCTCTAATATACTAATATTCGGACAAGATATTCCAAAGAAATCCAAGCTAAGTTTACCGGTTACTTTTAAAACTATTGGGAAAATTCATCATTAACCATTATGCCCCATTATTAAAGGAAAATAAATTATGCATCGGTGTACCGAAATACAGAGTCTATTTTACTAGGCACTCCTGTAAATTGCTCAGTTATGAGAGCGGTGCTTTTAGGTAAAAACCGACAATCATCAATTTCGCTAAACATATCGAAAAACCAGTACGTTTTACCACGGTACGAATTGACGACCCCTCGTATGGCTGGATAATTCTGCATAAGAACATTATAATGCTCGCGTTTAAGCAACCTAAACGAGGCGTATTCGAAATATAAACCATACTTTCACTGAATAATACAATTTCGTTATCTGGTTTTTGATAAATACCCGATATTTTTTCAAAAGGTATGTAAAAATGTTAACCAATCAGTTATTACAAGCGGTGTATCTTGAATTTCCCTAGTGTTTAAATTTAACATCCACACGTACTTTTTATAAAACAAGTAAAGTTTATTATTCACAATTATTATATTATTCAGGTATTTGACATCTTAGAATTTAAATCACATAATTTGGGAACTTTTAAATTGATTCCTTGCGTGTTCGGCGTTGGGATAGTCGTCGTTGTCTTCGTGGTTGTCGTAGGCATCGTTTTTGTTGTCTTCATGGTTCTCACCGTGGTTCTAGCCGTTGTCACTACCGGTTTGGAACCGTATAACTCTTGAATTGCCAATATATCATCTTGCGATAGTTTCGTTGTGTTTTCAAACACCAAAGACGGGTACATTATAGATTCGTAGTTTGCAGAATGCGCTATACCAAGGACGTGACCTATTTCATGTGTTAAAACTCTCAACAGACTTGTAGCGCCTTCCGGGACCGGTTCCTCATCCAAATACCAACTTAAACTTTTTTGTATGTGAACTTCCTCAGTCGTGGACATTAAATCGGGAAAATAGGCATGCCCCAGTATCATTCCTCCTGTTGGAAATGGGCACCAATCCCTATTATTAATTCTTCGGAACGTATGGTTTGCTTCCGTAAATGAAATCACTATATTTACAGAATATTTTTTTCGAGTACGGGTTAACATACTCAAACTGCAAATTGCTATTGGCAGACCACATTTCGAAAGCCTGTCTCGTTATTCCTACATATTTTTGTCTATGCGGAAGATATGCGGTTGATGGAGGGTAAACTGTCCACTTTTAGAATTTAGTATTCCATTTTCCTTGTTTGCTATTGTGAAGGGTATAGTAATTATCAGAAGTTCCACACCAATACCTCTGTATAAAAGAAACGGTTTGGGGGTTCAATGTTCCATCCTCTGGTAGATTATATATAGCCTGAAACTCGCTTAAACCATCAGCCAATGATTCTAGGTTCTGGACGTCTGCTGATTCATTATTATGAAAATACCCGTGAAATCGTAAGAAAGTCTGGGCTTCTTCTTGTGTTAGCTCACCACCACTTGCAGAGTGGGTAAGCACCACTGTCACTATCGCTAAAATAACGTACATGTTGTTCAGACAAGATTAGACTGTCAACTGAATGTAAGTAGTTTGTTAACCACCATATATATGTTTAGGGTCTATATATCACTTCTAAACGTTTCAAGCTCCCTTTAAAATCTTTGAAATATCTTCTTTTTTTTCCTTGGGTTTGTCCAGTACATATAGTCTATCAATCAGTTCATTAATGTCGTCGTATTCCAGAGGAGGAGAACTATTGTTTAAGAGTCGTTCGTTTGTGTAATCGTATTTAGGAGGAAAGCTTTCATCACTAACCCGTTCCGTAATAAGTTTTCTTCTGCATAAGTTTATGCTCTTCCTTGCTTGGAGGAAAGTTTAGAAATAATATTTTAACTATTTCAGCTTTTGTTTGAATTAATGTGTCTATCCTGATTAAACTGATGCCTATGTGCGTTTGTTAATAACAGTATAAACTTATAATTCTCTAAATCTACTTCAGAGTATTCAGTAGGATGCGATTGAGTAAGAAGAATTCAATAATCCGCTTCGTCAGTTCAAAATTTTTATCTTTAATCGCTAGATCTCGTCATCTTGAACTTCTACTGGTTCGTCACCAATAAGCAGACGTTTGTTCACTCTTCTAATACCAAATACATTTCGGTGTGGTATATCCAAGAGTTTTAACCTACAGCGTTGTTGCTCCATGATCGATGACGTACTAATGATGCCTTTCATAAGAATATGTAGTATTTATAACTAACGCAACACCAACGCAACAAGAACACAACGCTAACGCAACACGAACGCAACGCTAACGCAACACGAACACAACGCCAACGCAACAAGAACACAACGCTAACGCAACTCTAACGCAACGCCAACGCAACGCTAACGCAACACTAACACAGACCCGATTGGAACAGACCTGATTGAAACAGACCTGATTGAAACAGACCCGATTGAAACAGACCCGATTGAAACAGACCCGATTGTAACAGACCCGATTGAAACAGACCTGATTGAAACAGACCCGATTGTAACAGACCTGATTGAAACAGACCTGATTGAAACAGACCAGATTGAAACAGACCTGATTGAACGGACCTGATTGAACGGACCCGATTGTAACAGACCTGATTGAAACAGACCTGTTGGGTCTGGTCGGGTTCGAAATGCCTAGGATATTAACAAAAGATGAGCGAGAAGTTCAGAGAAAGATTATAAATGCTGCTAATATATACGAAAAAAAACATTCTAGCTTGAAATTAGAACGTGATGAGGAAGATGAAACTTAAATAGAATATTGGGACCTATAACTATACCCTTAAATAAACTCGCAGACAGAACAATAAAGAACAAGGAAGAGGAAATTGTAAAGATGGAAAAGATAACACCACCATCATCGATAAAGAAACAGCCAAAACCTGAACGCAGTTCTCAAAAGTATTTTGAATTCCAGCCGACTGAAATGATTGCGGAGAAGTCTGAAACAGTGATAAATGATATGATGATAATGTTTCTTATGGAAAGTACAATCACTTACAAGCATTTTAAAGATGCTAACGGAAGATCTTTCAAAAAAATCAAATTCTAGAACAAACTGAAGTGTACAAGAGCTACTTGGATCAGTATCCAAAAATAGCACATGAATTTATCGATAAGTACTTTATAGATTCCGATGAAATAGATCATACGTATGGTTTACAACATAATGCACCAACTGAAACTTGGAAAATGGGACGGAAAAAGTGGATTTTCTTCAAAATGGTGATATACGAGTAGGCGATTCTATTTACAAAGGAAATCTTGGTTTATATGAATTGTTATTTCTAAAGAAACCTATGCACTTTACTGAAAACAATAGAGTTCAATTTCAGAAAATATTGAAGCAAAAACCAATGTTCACAAAAGAGATTTTAGTCCATTGGGACAATTGAGAGGTTGTAAATCTGTGAAATATAGGGATTTCGTTAAACCATTGAACAGCTGCATCTTCGGCTTCGCTTGAAGGTTCAAGACTTAGGCATTCATCAGCCAGCAATATAGCACAGAAAATCCCTAAAACCAGATCGAAAACTAAATCTGGATCCGCACTACTTGAGTATAATGGAAAAACCTTAAGAATATATTTATTTATGATGACGTCAACGAGTTGGTGGATAGATTAAGTAAACTGGATGCCTCTCAAACAGCAGGAAACGGAAACAATACGAATGAATTACATAGTATTTCTTGAAGAATTGTTAGAACTAGGTGTAGTTAACCTATAAATAAAGTTGTATATAGTACTAGATATTTTAGCATTATTATTTCAACCTGAACAAGTTCGGATGGTCTTTATCTTCCAAGCGAAGGTTAGTGTACCCTCAACCTGAATTTTCCCACACACCTGAAGGAGATTATATTTTTGAATTTGAAAAATCAAACTAATGTGAAGACCCTACAGAAGAGAGCGATGTATCGACCAAACGATATTCTGATGAACTAGCAGGGAAAGTCCGCGAAATCTCTCTCTTTTT